AATTTTAGTGCTGCATGGACATAGATTAAAAATTTTAATCGCGATTAAAATTAACAATGACTTTACTCTGGCTGAATATGTAGGTTTGTATATTGCAATGCACTCAGGTCATGTTTGTAAATGAGAAGTGGTTCTCAAACAGTTTACCTGGATAAATAAAGGTTAAATAAATAATATTAAAAACTCCATGTGTAACACATTATGTACAGTTTTTTCTTTTTGTCTTCTTATGGCTTATTTTATTTTATTTATTTATGTTTTGCTGACAGCTGTGACCTTAGTATCTATCTTTCATTCCTCTTGTAGTTCTCATTTGGAATGAAAATCCTTGAGTTCTTGATTTAAACTCATTATTCTGCACAAAATTTAGCTGATAAACATGTTTGGAGCATTTGGAGCATTTTTAAGTCCTGTTTTATATTTTAAAAAAATCACGTCTAAGATCAATTTTGTTTTCTAAATAAAAACATTAAAAACTCAAGTAATTTCTTTTATCAATAAGCGATAGAAATGTATATTGAATTTAAAATTAATCATGATTAATTCACAGCTACTTTAGGATTAATCAGATAAAAAATATTAATCATTTGACAGCCCTAAAAAAATATACTTTATTTTTTTATGCTTGTGTGGTGATACTGTAGACATGCGCCCTGAAAGTGAGAGTATACATGATTATTTCTCTCCGTGTGGCCCACAGAATGCATCCCGTCACTGCCGTAAGCCTGTGATCAATGCAGGCGACGGTGTGGGGGAACATCCAACCCAGGCCCTGCTGGACGTCTTCACCATCAGAGAGGAGCTCGGGACGGTCAACGGCATGACGGTGAGAGGCCGCCCACRTAAACCCTGACCTCCAAACAGAGCGAAACACTTGATGAAAACAACCTTTTTCTTTGACCATCCAGATTACAATGGTRGGGGATCTGAAACACGGCCGCACCGTGCACTCCCTCGCCAAACTGCTGACCCAGTACCGCATCACCCTGCGCTACGTGGCGCCCAAAAACCTCCACATGCCAGCAGAGATCCTCAGCTACGTGGCCTCAAAGGGAATCAAACAGGTGGGGACTCRACACTAAAATGTCTACTCTGCTGAAATCTTATTAATTAAAACAATATTTTTTGTATTTAATTTTGGCAGGAGGAGTTTGAGAGCATAGAGGAGGCTCTCCCTGACACGGATGTCCTTTACATGACGAGGATCCAAAAGGAGAGGTTTGGATCTGAGGAGGAGTACAAAGCTGTGAGTTTGRTTTGATTTACAACTTTTAAAACTAGAGAAATTACATTTCCTGTGAAAATGCAAGTGTGAGTGCCTTTTGCTGAAAACTTTAGCTGAAAGCTGCTGAAATTCAGCTGAACATGTTTAAAAGTAAAGGTATTAGAGTAAGTTGCACTAAGAAAGCTGAAAAAAGCGCAATAAATGCAGAAAACTAAAAAAAAAAGGCAAAATATAGCTGAAATAGCATAAAAAAGCTAAAGGCTAAAATAGCTGAACATAGCAGAAAGCAACCATAAGAAGCATAAATAACTCAAATTAGCAGAAAGAAGCACAAAAAAAGTTGAAAAACGGCAGAAGAATAGCAGAAAGAAGTATAATTTTAGCTATTCTAGCAGCAAAAAGCTAAAGTTAGCATAAAATAAGCTAAAGGTAGCAGACTCAAGTAGAAAGTAGCACCCAGATGGTGAAATTGTTTAAAAAATTTCAAAATTAGCAGAAAACCCCCCATAAAACTACTAAAAAGTAATCATTTAAAGTAAAATAGGTAAAACAGCCGAAGTTTTCATTAAAACAGCTAAAACATAGCTGGAAACATTTTAATTAGCATAAGGATGCATAAGGAGCACAAGTTTGCTGAATTTATCAGAATTAAGTTGAAATACCTCCAAAAAAAGTCTAATTAACTTAAAAAGCTAACTTTGGCTAATAACAGCTAAAATTTAGTTAAAGTTGTTGCAATTAGCTGAATATAGAAGAAAGCAACTGTAAAAAGCACAAATTTACAAAAAAAGTATAACAAAGAAGAAAAAAAGGCAGGAGAATAGCTGAAAGAAGTAGAATTTTAGCTATTATTAGCAGCAAAAAGCTAAAGTTAGCATAAAAT